GGGGCCACGCCCGCTTTTAACCGCCACGCCACTGGCTGGCCCCGGTGATTCTCACGGGGGTTAGGGTGACAAGCTGAGGCTGAGCTGCACTTAGGGGCCTCACACTCTAGCACGTTCAGGGGCCGGACGGGCACTGTGTGATAAGGGACAGCGCTGAGGACAGTGGCAAACATGAAGCCCTGTCCCCGAGCCTGCGTCCCTACATGGCGAGGGATGGGGACCTGCAGGAATCACCGGGGACTAGCGTTTCTTCAGTCAGGGGCACCCCGGCCCTCTTTTGGGCCTGCCAGCCTGGGTGGGTGAGTGATGGCCTGGTACGCCCCCCAGCACACTGCAAGCCTGTCCCCTTGGCTTCTGCCTGGCAGGCCCCTGCAGTGGCCCTGCTGGGCACTGGACTCACGTATTCCTGAGCAAAGTCGATGAGGTTCTGGAGGTCAATGTCGTCCCGGTAGGCCTTGACGTTGTTGTTGATGAAGAGGTTGAGCTGGTCTCGGATCCAGTCCTTGAAGACAAAGGCCAGGATCCCCGTCGCCAGCTCCAGGAAGAAGATGAGGCCGAGGAACACAGAGAACTGGGTCGGGGCACACAGCCGGTGAGGTTGGAGACTCCCCTCGGGGGCCACAGAGAGGAGCTGCCTTCCCACCTCCACCAGGACACAGGGGAGCCCAGGAAACTGGCCCTCTATTATTCGAATATAGTTTTATGATGTTCTCAACCCTCCTGTCACGCGGTCCGGCAGTCACACCCCACTTTTTCTGCGGACCACCCTCCTTCCTCTCATACCTGGAGTCCCCTCCGAGAAGCCAACTCCACCTCTCTCCCATCCCTCCCGTGCCTCTAGCCCACCAATCAGAGAGCTCTCTCCCCCGGCCCACAGGGATTGGTCTGGAGTTGGCCAATCAGAGCTGAGGAGTGCGGGTACAGAGCTTCGGGAGTCGAGATGGGCAGAGAGCACACCCGCCTGGAGCAGGAGTTCCTGGAGGGCAGGTGAGGCCAGCACCTGCTCCAGAGCACCCTTGCGCCCGTGGGCGTGGGCGTGGGCGAACCCAGGGCAGCCGAGCTGAGAAACAGGAGAGACCAGCCAAGCCACACCGTGGGGCCCTGGGATTGACGGTGACTGTGGTCACACACCTCTGGGCTTCTCGTAGGTAAGCCAAAAGCACCCTCCTCTGCTCAGGCAGCCGGGCCTCAGACCCCACAGAGAGGGTTGTAGGAAAGAGCTACCTGCGCCAACACGGACCACCCTGCGAGAATGGGCTGGGGCGGGGCTCCGGCCGATGGGGACACTCACAAACTTGAGCAGGAACGTGTTCTCCCGGAGAGCCCCGATGCAGCCAGCAAAGCCCAGCACCGACATGACGCCCCCGACCACCACAAACAGCCACACCGGGTCAAGACCGCCCAGATCTGTCAGCGCCGAGATGTTGGAGAGGACGCCCTGCGAGGGGGCAGGGCAAGTGTGAGGGCCGGCCCTCCCACCGCCGCCCCCCACAGGCTGCCCCACACCCCGCCCCCACCTCACCTGCTGGCCCCAGGCCCA